CAAGTTTTCGTATCGTTGCTAGGATGTCGGATTGAGCGCGGCTATTTCTTTTGTCCATCATCCCGGGGAAAATACAGCTGGTTCTGTTTTACGACAGGGAGGGGTTACAGCCATAATAAGTAACACCATGCATGGTTCAGTAGTTCATGAAAGCTAGTGAGGTGCTGCGTAGGTATGGACGTTGAGGAGAGGGTGATATTTTCAAGCCTTTGTCCTGTGAAGAATTCCCCCACAGAAATAAGGATAAACATCAACCACGAGCAGCCGAAGTGGAGGATGAAACCACCAAGCACACCGCATGACACCAGTCAAAACGGGGGGGATTTAGGTTTGACCACCTCCATCTGCAAGGAACCGATATGAATCCTACCTTCCAGCTTCGGCTAGGTCCCAGTGCTCACGCAGCTCCGCTCTTAATTGTTATTACTATCTTCCTACGATCTTGTTTCTACGGAGAACTCTTCCCACAACCACTCTCGGGGTGATGGAAGCTGGCGAGTTGTTGGACTGCGAAATGGCGTTGGGTTCGCTCCATCCTCTCCTGCTTTAACCCTGTCAATCAATCAACCCACCCTTGGTGGGATCGCCTAATCCCTTACCCTGGAAGCTCCAAACGCTTTGGGAAATGATGGATGCATGGTTTAAAAAAAAAGAAAGGAAAAGAAAAGAAAAAAAGAAGAAAAAAGCTCACTAGAAGAAGAACGACGATCCGGGGCGAGGGAGGAGCAACATTAGGATGTTCCCTCGTCACCATGGAGTCCGGATTACTGTTAATTGTTAATTGTTGAAATATTAATACCAATAAATACACATATCAGTCTGTAATAGGCATGTATTCGTATTTCCAGAGAGTTTGTCGATACGAAAAGGATGTTTTATGGAACGCTAATCATATCATATCAAGGGAGGTGAATCCCAAATCCCGTCACGCTCAGGCGAGGGGTGACGGAGATCAATAACTGAGAATTCTTTGCTGCGGCTTCTCAGGAGCAGAGTGCTCCGGCACCCGACAAACGTTGGTTGGCGGCTGTCATTCCACCAGCGAGTTACGCCTTGAAGAACAACGGCTGCAGCATCAACAATCAACATATGCTCGGAAATACTGGCATACTAGGACGCTCTCAGCAAAGCGGAGGTCGCGATGAGACCTTAAGAGGGTCAAGAATGACAGCCCCTCCTCCACTTTTCTTCCTTTCCGGCTCTTTTAGAATGTACGTTCCTCTGTGTTTTCTCCGTCGATGTTCGGAGACAAGCGGACACGGCAATGTTGAAGCTGGAGAGGCTCAAGGCGACAAAAAGATAGATAGCCTCGGCACCCAGTCACCGTCTTGCAAGGGCCTGGGCCTTGGTGCCCAAGTTCGGAACCGGCGCCGCGCGGCTATGCCCGCCGGCTAATCCGACACGTGGTTTGCCTGGGTGCCGACCGGGGAATATCGGGACACACCGCATATCACGTGATTAAAAGTCGGCTTGACACGGGGCCAGACCCTGACGTTTCGTCACCTGACCGTTGTGAGCTGCGAGGTGACAAGCTCTTGGATGAGGGGGAATGAGCGTCGGGTTCAGAGTTACGCTGACAATGACCACAACGGAATATTCTTATTCTGACCCTGCCAGCATCCAAGGGGCCAAGGGGCCATGTGGATTTTGAAGTTCTCTGGCGGTCTCGCCGATCCACCACACGACATGGCAGTGTCTAGGCTAGCAGGCGGGCAGATTATTTCCGCCAGGGATGATCGCCAGTAAATGTGCCGATGTCTGTGATTGTCACCAACCAACCCGCAGAGTGCCAGTATCTCGCTAGGAATACCGCTCCAGAGCTCTCCGGCTGCTCTTTCGTGGACGGAGTCAACTGATTCCCGGTTCATACAGGAAATAATACAACATAACACAGTCTAAATCTCTCAGAACTTTCACAAAGAATTCGCCAGTCAATGGCCTAGCTGGCTGGCAATTCAACAAGACCAACAATATCCATGGGAAGAAAGAAAGGAGAGGATAGTGTTCATGCTGTGATAGGTGAAGGGGACAATAAAAAAAACCCCCGCCGTATCTGGTAACCAGTTAACTAACTTAACTTGGCACCAAGTTGACTCAGCACCCTCTCGCAGACCAATCGCAGTCGCATCAGAATTCTCCTTTTTAATTTGAACCTCCTCATCAGGGAAATCAACTCAAGCTGTGATGCCCTATTGGCTCGTATGTGCTCATCAAGACCTCAGACCATTGGATGTTTCATACCCGTTTTCCAGGTACAGCTGCAAATTAAATTTCTCCTGGCTGGACAGATATGCGAGGGCTAGGGCTAGAAAAAACCTCTTTGTTTTCGTCCGGAATTTTGTCCTTTTCACGCAGCATCATTGTTCTTTTGATTTTCTGTCCTTTGTTTGCATGAAAACCAAAAAAAAAATTAGGGCTTTTTTAATTTTGCGTGGGAGAAAAACAAAAAAATAGGTTACGGGGAAAGAGACCAAAGCGTTCCTACTGGTCAACTAAGTCATAAAAAATGAATATTCACCTATCTATCACATTTCCAAGACAAGGCCGAATGAACAAATTTTTCCTTTTGAGGAATTTCGACTCAAAGCAACTTTTTGTTTCCCCCCCCCCCCAATCATTTTTGTCTTCCGCACCACCTGGGTCCGGATCTTCGCCCCTGGCAGTAGAAAGGGGGCGCTGGGCGTTGGACACTGAACACTGAACACTGGATAGGAGTCGGAGCCCGAGACGTCAACAGCCACAAAACCCAAACGGTCAGATGCGCGAGTGATGCAGTGTGAATCATATCTTAACACAACACGCACTGCAGAAATGGGCGGATAAGAGGGAGCTGTAGGCTTACACGTTATACTACAGCAGGGGTGCTGGGGTGGCTATTGATGATGATGTGCCTTGCAGCCTCATGCATCAACTTTCCCCCCCCCATCTCTCTCCTTTTCTTTTTCTTTCTTACCCCCTATTTTTTATTTTCATTTGCTTCTTTTACACCTCAATATACCGGACAGTCGGGTTTTAATCGTCGGGACCCGTCCCGAGATCCCCGAGCCCGTGTTATGGTTCTTATTGTTGTTGTTTTTGCTTTTTAACGCGTCGATATTGTCAAGAATATTGAATCTTAGTGGTTTATACGGGGAAGGATTGTTTTACAGTCGTTCGTTCATGAATAAGAGATACATGACGCGCCGTGCCGTATGTAAACATTCATACGCATATACACAAGCACCTCGTAATTTTCATTTTACATTTCACCTCCATCGCACCTGAAGTAAAGCGCGCATCATCCCGCGAATACACAGCGGAAATGTGGGCGCACCTTATTTTGCATGTACTGGAAAACATCCAACATGACATCACTGCTCCCCCACTTTTATGCCATAACCAAGGCCAGCGAGAGAGGATTCAAAGGGGGAGATGGGTGTACAACAATTAGCAAAACCCAACTCTCTTAACCCAGGCCGCGACAAATATATCTAACTGTTCTATGCTCTCGTTTCTTTTTTTTTTTTTTTTTTTTTTTTTTTTTTTTTCGGGAGGGAGAATAAATAAAAGATAAATGACGGCGGGGACTAATCCTCGTATTTGCCAGCTCCTTTGAATAGCTTGTTTCCTCCCAGCTTGTGGTCCTTGTGACCGATATACAAACTCACGCCTGCGACGGTGACACTTTCGATAGCGGCCGAAGATTTGTCAGAGATTGACAGTCCGAGCGTGCAAAGTTAACGAGATGGCAATGGCGCGCTATCTATTATCTGTAATTCCTTATTTTTCATATCTTTGCCTTCTCGAATAGGTCAATGCGTTTTCGCCGTGTCCCTGTGTTGAAAACCTATTTTTATCTCCTATTTGCATTAAAGCTGAGCTTCTACTTGGTGGCGGTGATGGGAGAAGGGGTGTAGAGAGAGGGTTTTTGCGGAGGGGGCAACAAAAGGAATTCTTCTCTGTGAAGAGTGGATAGAAGGTCATGTGTGTGTGTCTGGTGCGGAGTTGGGCAGCCTATCAATGGCGTTGACTTGATATGGATTCCGTATTAGCCCATAGACAGTGAAAGCACATCGACTTACTCCCAAAAATATCCGTGCTTGGAAGAGTCATGAAGCTGTCCCGTGGTAGTGAAGACAATAACTTGCCATGAGGGTCGTCTTCGGGCGAGCCGCTATTAGCTCTTGAGCCAGGCCGAAATGGTCGGCAAAAAAAAGAAAAGAAAGCTAAAATATGTACTTCTCCAGACGAGATAAGCTCCAACAGCTACTAGTGTGTCAAAACAAGTTGATGAAAATGAAATGCAATTTTCACATCCTTGAGGATGCGGACAAATGATTTTTCTATTTGCATCTCTTCTTAGTAGTTACCTGCATCTAGTTGCATATTCTCGGAAGTGCCAACTTGATTTGGGCTTCAAGTTATATATACTAATCATCAATCATTTCTCGCTTGGACTTTGTAACTAGGTTAAAGTTAAGCTTTTCAGCTAAAAATAACCCTAATTTGAGCCTAAAAAGTTGCCAAGGCTGACCCCAATTACGTCAACATTTCCCCATAAGTTAGTTGACTAGTGAGTAGCTATCAAAAAATAGGACAATTCATACTATAAGGACAATTGGTATCATGTTTCTATGGGATATCATGAAAAATGGATCCCCCACCTTCAGGCTTAATGGAACACTGTATGCTACTTAATCTTGGCTTTCCAACAAGGAGATCGTCACGATCAAGCTTGGGTGAAAAGTCCGTAGTCAAAGCGCCCAAAGGCAAGATTAGAGGTAATCCTACTGGACAAAAATATTGCCCCGTCGATTATCCTATATATAATATTCTCGCCCGTTCCATATCCTGTCTAAGCTATTTACCACGGTACAAAGTGCACAGGAGGGTAGATATATCAGACCATCCACTCCTACTCCGAACTGATTCTGTCACCAAGGCCTCTTCATGGTTACTCTATTCCTTTGGATTAATGTCGTCGAATAGGAATCAACATCCCTGTTAAATCCGTTGCAATCATGAAGTTCAAAAACATCTTTCAAAAAGACGACCCGGAGATGGAGAGAAGAGCGCCCTTGCCTTGGATCTCCAATCCAGTGTCCCTAGGGGTCCAAGCTCAGGATGAGGAAATCGTCCTAGAATCCATCTCTAAAGTGGACACATCTACAGAAACTATAGAGGATATACAGAAGGGGGCTCCCGACAAAACAAACTCTTCTGTTTTCAAAAAGCCCAATACTTTGCTAGTTGACCTATTCTATGACCTGTTCTTTGCCGCCAATCTGGCAGGCTTCACACTGACACATGAGATAAATAATACTGGAGGTTTGTATTCCCAGTCATCAAACAGTTTAACCATACATATCCAGGATGGACGTTAACGTGCATTCGAATAGGCCTAAAAGCGTATGCCGGCTACATTTCGTTGCTGTGGTTCGTCTGGGTCCAGACTACGTTTTTCGATCTTCGATTCTATACCGACTCCGTCCTGTCACGGCTATTCAAAATCCTGCATTTGGGGGTTGTATGCGCGTTCATTATTCTGGGACCTAATTTCGATTCATCAAGCCCCACGACAAGGACGAATCAGTACCAGAACACTAGCTTCGTTCTTATGTCATCGCGATTTATCCTGGTTCTTCAGTATGGCTCCATCTTATGGTATATAAGAGGAGAAAAACGTGCAGTTCTTCCAATTCTGATGGTTATTGGTGCACTCTTTGTTACTGCAATGTCGTACATGGGTCTCGCATTTGCTGCAATAAGATCTAGCGGGAACCTTGCCTTCGTTGCATGGTATGTGATTGGGGCCGTGGAGGCAATATTTATGGTATCTATATCAAGGTTTTGGGAAGTGCTTAGGTTCAAGGAGACTGCTATCGTCCAAAGATTTAAGTCCATGACATTGATTATCCTCGGAATAGGCTTTGTTGGGATGACCAGAGCGGTAAGTTCCCCCCTCTTCTTGCCAGGGAGCGAGTAGCTGATGCAAATACAGGCCACCAGAGTTGCCCAAGATATAAGAGATATTACCAGCACGTCAATTGGCCTTATGATAAGTTACTTCTTTGTTATTGTAAGCTCCTAGCACGGAAGATAACCTTTTACCAAGTTTCCTAACATATATATGGTGTAGTATTTCATCTATACAATATACTCTGACCAGATCCCCGAGAACTGGTTTAGCGGCATCCGCCCGCAAATATGGACACTCGTGCATCTTCCATTACACATGGGAATACTTCTCGCCGTTGAAGGTTGCCGTGGATGGATTATGTGGGACATTGCCAACCATATCATCGAGGGAGCTGCCCTTCAAGCCCTCTTGGCTTTAGACGTACTGGGGCTTTACCGCGAACTCCATCCGAAGCAGAGGCTTTTGTCACCGAACTTAGGATAATCGTCATCAATCTCTACCAGCGGCTCCACTCCGGAGAGCCAGTGCCGGATTTCACACCGATATACGAAGGGCTTCTCTCCCTGAACCCCTTCGACGAAGATACTCAAGTATACGTCTTTATTCAAGAGTTTTTCAACGACATATACTTTTGGGTCATGCGGGCCTTTGGCATCCCTGTACCACGGTTAGGAAACATCGGGCGTCAAACTTTCGAGGAGAAGAACAAGGTCATTTACAGCAAGTTTTACGTACTGTTTGGATACTTCTTCATAGGGTCTGGGTTGACGCTTGTGCTCCTTGCACTTCTACGTTGGTTGGGCAAAGCGCGTAGGACGCGTGGCGAGATGCTGTCCATTGTCTTGATGACTCTGATCGGGACGGGTGTGACGTTTATCTCATTTTTCATCCCAGCTGAAAAGAACTTGAATGTAGAGGTACAACCGGATGGACCGTTTACAATCTACTTGAACAGTAGGTGGATCGTGCCGACTGTGGCGTTGATATATGCGTTCGGTAAGTTAACAAGTTGTCCCGAAGCCATACTCCTTCATACGTGGTTTTGCTAATTCGGATGTTTTGCTGTAGTCGTTTTTGTTGATAATTTGATTATATGGATCTCGCACAGACGCTGGATCAAGCGTTTACCTAGCAGTTGATTTGTCACCACTGCGATGTCATTCATCTCGGTCTCAATAGATCTGGAAAGAAAGGCATTGACTACATGGGAATGATACTATATGTCAACGTGCGCTTTGTATCAATTTTCGGCCTTTCCAAGGCTCCAAATGCCTGAAAGAGATCCTATGCTCAAATTACGACTTTCCCCCATCCTCTCAGAACAAGAAAGAAAAAAGAAACGTAAGAAAAATAATATATTTACATGTTGAAATAGTTGCACCAGTAACTGATTATCGGCATTAGTTTTGTGTTTTGGTTCCTGTATTCAGTTTTGAGTACTAATATTTGTTCATCTGATTTTACTTGTCATTTTATCAGTGTCCTTTCATCAGTTGTCGGTAGTAGTGTGGTACACGTAATTGATAATTCAAATGGACTGTACGAGCTATCAATTTTCACTCATTCCAAGGTAACAGTATAGGGTACCTGAGAGCTCAGGCCCAAGTTAAAGATGCACGAACAAAAAGAGACCGTATGTCGAAATGGCTGTCAGGATCAACAAATCACTTTTCCTAGAATGTTCTCTTCCGGCGGCAACGACGAAATATCGGCCCTTGATTCCTGTGACACAATGTGAGGAGACATCAGGTGTCAACATGGGGGCGGTCGATATTTCAATTCCCCAATAATGAGTCAAAATATGCTCCTCCGCCCCTTTGATGTTCATGTCGGCGAGCCACTATGAGAACGCATATTCAGATCATGCCACAAAACTGTTTAGCAATGGGCAAATCACGCGTATGCTTGGGCCGGATTACGATCTTGGAAAAGAAGGGACAATGCCCCTGTGGCGGCGCCCTGGTTCTTAGAGAACTTGTTCGCTATCACAATCACGCAAGTTTATACCCAATTTTCGTACGGAATAGACATAGCTCTTCTCCGGAGTTCGAATGTAAGGCAGAAACTTGGAGGTCGCACAAGTGGCGGGAGAGTCGGAATATCGGACTGCCTTCATTGCTTGCTGCCGTAGGATAAATGTATAGAGACTTCTATCGGAATCCGTAACGTCGATGGTGGCCAAACATGGATGGGTTCTGATTAAGCCTTTTACCAATATATATCTGATGTTTTTTTGAATACCTTAACCGACGCTTCGGAAGGAGCCTGTTATGTCAGGGAAAACTTTAGATGTGAAATTACATATTTTCTTCACTGCATGTATGTCAAGTTTGGTAGGTTAGTTAACTAAAATCTCCACCGAATCCACCACCAAAAGCTAGCACCTGTGTCATCACAACAAAAGTTCTTATTTGTTCCCTTTGAGCGAAGAAGTTGGATATCCATCAAAGATATAAAATTGGTGGTAAATCTCCTTCTAGATGGATATAATATCAGGGTTCTAGTTACATTTTTTTGGCTGTCCTATCATGTAATAATATCGAATTTTACTCGTTTCATAGTGCATGTTTATTTGCAAAGGACCAGTGAATTCCCATCGGCTTGGATTAATGTTCATATATATACATGGATATTAGTTTCGATATATACATTGGCAAGTAAACGTTCTCTCTCTCTTTTGCAGCCCTTCCGCTCATTGGAAACAAAGTTTCTACTTGGCAGGATTGAAAAGAGTTCTGTCACCCTGCACAATGCCACAATGCCGGCTGCATATTCAACAGCAAAAGGGCATGCTTGGGATTGATTCCATGGCGTCCAAATCCACCGGGAGAAGATGCAGTTGCACAACGCATCATAGCATAAAAATATCGCGAAAAGGAACCCTACGCGGATGTCTTGGGAATTTTGCTCTGATCAAGCGTGAAAAGAAAGCTTTGAGCAACTTTCTGCTTTCAACCCGAAGGCGAGATTGTGGAAATCAGCCTTGCTCAAGCATCTCAGGCACCCACCCACAAGTCTCCAATCCTGTTTACCCTGTTCCCCTGACTCAAATTATCTCCCCAGTCCTGCTGCAAAGTTGTTCCAACTGGGGGGCCGGGTGGGATCTAACGATATCTCTCGTTGAAGGAAACAGTCCGAAAACCCCCCACGCTGCCGTTCAGGCTCCAGGGAACAGGGTTAGGATGAATCATGCATGAACCTGGTTATTGGGACACGCTAGGGCAAGGGACGGGACGTCCCTTCGCCTCCAGATGACAAGGCTCTCTGACGATGCTCGCTCTGCCAAACAGGGACGGTGCCCACACCGAGGCTATCAAGGAGTTAGTGGGACGAGGGTGGAGAGAGGATGGCGAGGTTTGTTTCCCCGAACTCTCAGCCTGACTGCCTGAGCACTCACTCAGGAGCAATCATTGAGACTGCCCGCAAGTGCTCCGTGTTGGCCTGATTCATCTACACAGAGTGCTTTTCATCTAGCCGACTTTGGGCATACTAGCGAGGCTTGGAAACGATGCCAATGCCAACCTCTACTACTAAAACCGTACCGGGTGAAAATTAATGGAGACAACGTATGGAATCATTATCAACACAGTCGTTATTCAGGGAGGGTTCCGTTCTGCAGCTGCAACATGAACGCAAGGAACGGACACTAATTGCAACAGGTCATGCCGCAAGTTGGGAAACTGGTGATCCTCCGAGAGGATCATGAAACAGATTACGGAGTTTAGAATGATATAAAGTTCATTAACACCTGTAATGAATATAAAACAACAATACCAGGTGAGATCGGTTTGAATTTAACAGACATAGGAACGTACAGTACATACCGAACTTACAGTACGGCAGGTAAGATACAGCCCTGGTAAATGTGAAAATATGATACGGAACAAGAGATACAGATGGGGGGTCGAGCAAATAACCAAAATCATCTTGTGATGCGTTGTGTAAGTTTTCTCGAAGGGCTGGGGGACTTCTCAACCTTGCCCCTTTTTCCATTCCCACGGGAGGAGCTTCGGAGAGTGGGACTAGCGCGCGCGGAAGCCGGGAAGGCAGTTCTAAAAGCGACGGCGCGCACCAGGTCAGGGGAACGGACGCCAACCAACTCCCTGGGTTTTTCGCCCCGTTAGCCGCGGCTGGACCCTGGCTGTGACTTGGGGGTTGGAGAAGGGTGAAGAGTGGGATTTGCCTCATGGATTGACTCGGAACTCTCTCAGCACCTTGTGGAAGTCCCACATGGAGGATTTCTGAGAGGCGATTTGCCAGCTTTCCTGCGGAACAATTCTTTGGTGCTTGCCCCTGTACTTAGCCATGGTATGAAGGTAGGGTATCTGGCGGACCGCTGAAGGCGGTGATTCCTATACCAACAACCATGTGCTTCGTTAATGGAAACACGAAAAAGAAAATACTGAATGGGGGACATCGATAGTTCAACGACAGACCGCTGAAGATACCGCGATCACTTTACGGAGTACAGAGTGCATGTCCGTCGACATAGACCAGGGATATTGAAAGCCCCACTCATTACTGGCTTGCATCCGCGCTGTAAATCTATCACCATCCAGAGGTAATGCGGCGGAAATGGTTTCCCACACCAACCATCGAGCAAGCAATGACAGAAACCCTTTTTGCTGAAGAGTCGTCTGATCTCTCGTTCAGAGCTCCAGACCTTTCGCTTGCTAGTCGATACCGACAACCTGATTCCTATGGCGATCCATCTTGGGAACGCGTGGTAAAATATCCAATCAATTCCGCCATTACCGCTGCCACCAGTGCCTACCACAGCGCCATCTCAATACCAAAACCACACTATCGGGGCCTGAACTCGTCACGTTGAACCGCCACCTTGGAAGCTGGAGAGACGGCTCCGGGGAAGTTTGGATAGTGCAGATGGTGCTTGTCGTGGTGTGCGATCCAATCGGATGGGAGCAGACGTTGCTAGGCAGATGGTTAACCCCCCTGAAAGATTTCCATCGCCCCAGTCCAGAGGCGGGAAACAAGGGCCAATCAAGAATGGTGTGTTACTGATGTTGCTGGTGGCATTGCGGAACAATGGAGGGACAGTGGTCCGCGGATGACAATTGGGAGTTACATGAAGAGTGTTAAACACCCGAGGGTTGGACGGACTTCCCGCTTCCAAAATTATTACAGCCATAATGGTCGGGCAGAAATGATTGGTTTTGCATTGGCTGTCCTCCAAAAATAACGGTTGCAATGGAGAGCACCCTAGATATAGCTAGCAACGTCATGATTAGATCAATATTGTGCCAACCAATGTGGGTTTTCGTGCTTGTGGGATACTTTATCTCATGAAGAAAATATGACATGACGATTTTGGGGAGCGTTCACCAAGTTTTCCAGACCTAGGAATTCAAACCTGAAGCAGGTTGATGGAGAATGAGGAATGAGTATCTGGGAGTGCTTTGACTCTTGAGAACAAGATAGCATTACTATTTCACGGTAGACTATGGGCCACGGTGATATATATTTATACATATATGGTAATATCTATCTACCCTGTCCTACTGCCCACTTCGGCAATTCTCGTGTTGTTCTGCTACCAGGTCACTGCACACGGCGAAATAGTATGAAAGGGCTGACTCATATTCAAGGGTCACACTGCTGGAGCCATGCCACAATGGCAGGAAACTCGATGTACGGGCGGCGATATGTCGAGTTGAAGAATCGAATTAGAGTCACCAGTTGGGTCGCGGCAAAGCGCGATTAGAGTCGCCAGCTTCGGCTTATTGGCGCCGAACAACTCCATCAGACACCAAGGGCAGAGTGGAGCGATTATGGTATGATAATTTCTCATCTTCAAGACAAGAGTTGGATTTGCAAAACATGCTATTTTTTACCTTTCAAGAACAATACGCGCCCTATTTACGGAGCTTCGGTATTTCAAAGCAGATAGATATGTTGTTTCAGAATAGGTTCGCCAGGTGTACAGGGTACATCTGCAAAAGGTACCCCTTGTGGTGGTTATCAGCAACAGAGCAGTAGTGCTAGTACAGACTCCACAACGGGGCAATCAAGCCATTCCTCATGAATGCCCAATAGCCCAGCGTCGCAGCCATACATTATTTTTGGCCACAGGGAAATTCAAATATTGACTTTCATAGCTCTGGTGAATGGTTAACGATTT